GACGTGTGAGAGAGAGAGAGAGAGAGAGAGAGAGAGAGAGAGAGAGAGAGAGAGAGAGAGAGAGAGAGAGAGAGAGAACTTGACGACAACTCGCACGACCTGCGATTCACAGTTACGCGACATACGACTGTGACGAAACGGTCTGCGCACAGTGAGGTAACGCGGCCAGCCCACGGGAACTGGTTTGCCCGTTGGGAAAGCAGCCTACCCACACGGGCAAACCGGTTCCCCTGGGCTAGGCTGCTTTCCCAACGGACAAACCGGTTCCCGTGGCCAAAGGCAAACCAGTTGTACATCTGGGCCGTCGGGACCTTTCGGATTGACGATCCCGATCGGCGCGCACTTTTTAGATCTGTAGACTGCGCGCCGATCGGGACCGTCAATCCGAAAGGTCCCGACGGCCCAGGTGTCACATTTGTTACATCGCACAATTGATCTGGGCCGTGGGCCGGTAGGACCGACGACGGCCCAGATCGGAGATTTGTTACACACTGCGGAAATAGCGATTTCTATAGTGTAGGGATCAGAGAGATCTGATTCAGCAACACGGTCTGGTCTGACTACGTATGAGGTCCTCTCAAGCCTAGCCGGACTCAGCTCCGTTAAGACACAACGAATCAAATTCAAAGTGTACCTACACAATGCAAGAGAGAATTGAGTGGTGTCCACTCAGCTCCGTTGAGACACAATGAATCAAATTCAAAGTGTACCTTCACAATGCAAGAGAGAATCGAGTGGTGTCCAAGGTGCTGGTCAAGCGGCGGATCGTGCTGTGAAGTCCATTAAAACGTCTCAGTTGAGATCCCCTCAGCAGCGAGTGTCCTGGTCCGAAAGCACGAGCTCCGAGTCCCAATCAAATAGAGCAAGGTAACTGACGTCAACAGATTTGGGCCTGAGGGGCCCTTCTTGTTTGAGCCCGGTCCCACAGTCCCAAATGGTCCCAGTGGAGTCAGAATCGGGTCCCAACCAACAAGAGTTCCACAAAGACCTACTCTCGGCCTACATGTGAGAGGAAGGAGAAGGGTAGCCATGGCTATGGTGGACCTCAAAGTTCAGAGTTCAAAGTTCAAAGTTAATCATACTTTTTTCAAAAAAAGATTCTCTATTTCTTTAGTCTTGTGCCTGCTTTGCACTGATTGCAACTCTGCATGTCTGCTAGTTAAATGTGCTGGTTGATTTGCTGCAAGACACGTACTCTGCAGTCTGAACCATACATGCGGCGCATCGGCATGCGCTGCAGCGCGCAGCGCGCATGATGCACACACATGCCATGCGGCACACAAGCAAATCGACGGGTCCAAAAAAAAAAATGAAAGTTGCGGGGCAGGGTTGAATGCCCGGTAGGGACTTCGCGCCGCCAGCTACAAAAAAACAAAGAATTTTTTTTGAGGCCGCGAATGCCCCCGCAAAAAAAAAAGAGCGGGGAGATCCAAGCAGTTCATTTTTTGAACTGCTCAAACCTGCCCCACGTCGGCCCCCAGCCCGGCAGTCGACCTTCGGTGCCCCGACACCACGCAGTCCTTCACGGCCGGCGTGTCTTGTCGTCGCCGTCGCCGTCGTCTCGTACTCCTCTTCTCGTGTTCACTGCAACAGGAAGCAGCTCCCCACTTCGTCATTCAGCCATATCCCGTGCAGCTGCGAACAGCAGCACGAAGGAGCCAAGGGTCGCAGCACTGGGAGGAAGCGAAGGAAGCAACGGCCATATCCAGGTGGGTTACCACCAGCCCCTCTCTCTCTCTCTCTCTCTCTCTCTCTCTCTCTCTCTCTCTCTCTCTCTCTCTCTCTGTGGAAACTGTGCAGCTCCTCCTCCTCCCCGTTTCTCCCTTGCCATCGTTCTTCTCCACCTCTCCCCTCCTCCCTCCTTCGCCAAGTTCTCTTCCTCCCCTTGTCATCGATCTCCTCCTCCATCCACCGTTGTCCTCTCCTTCCCTCCATCATCGGTGTTATCCTCCCTCCGCCCTTCTCCCTTCCCCCTCCTCCCTCGCTATTGATCTACTCCTCCCTCCTCCATTCCCTCGCTCATCATCGATCTCCTCCTCCCTCCGTTGTTGTCCTCCCTTCCCTCCATCACCAGCGTCGTACTCCCTCCGCCCTTCTCCCTTCCCGCTCCTCCCTCGCTATTGAACTCCTCCCTCGTCATCAATCGCCTCCTCCCTCCGTCATTGTCCTTCCCTTC